GCATAGCTGATCCGCAAGCAAATGGCGTGAAGCAGCACCAAGGTTGAGTTGCTCCATACCCCGTGATCCGCAAGTAGATGGAGTGAAGCAACACCAAGGTTGAGTTGCTCCACATCCCAAGTTCCAGCGATCCACAATAACCCATGTGTGGCCATGCTGAAAAGTTGTGCAGTTTCAGCAACTTCAGCATAGCTGATCCGCAAGCAAATGGCGTGAAGCAGCACCAAGGTTGAGTTGCTCCATACCCCGTGATCCGCAAGTAGATGGAGTGAAGCAACACCAAGGTTGAGTTGCTCCACATCCCAAGTTCCAGCGATCCACAATAACCCATGTGTGGCCATGCTGAAAAGTTGTGCAGTTTCAGCAACTTCAGCATAGCTGATCCGCAAGCAAATGGCGTGAAGCAGCACCAAGGTTGAGTTGCTCCATACCCCGTGATCCGCAAGTAGATGGAGTGAAGCAACACCAAGGTTGAGTTGCTCCACATCCCAAGTTCCAGCGATCCACAATAACCCATGTGTGGCCATGCTGAAAAGTTGTGCAGTTTCAGCAACTTCAGCATAGCTGATCCGCAAGCAAATGGCGTGAAGCAGCACCAAGGTTGAGTTGCTCCATACCCCGTGATCCGCAAGTAGATGGAGTGAAGCAACACCAAGGTTGAGTTGCTCCACATCCCAAGTTCCAGCGATCCACAATAACCCATGTGTGGCCATGCTGAAAAGTTGTGCAGTTTCAGCAACTTCAGCATAGCTGATCCGCAAGCAAATGGCGTGAAGCAGCACCAAGGTTGAGTTGCTCCATACCCCGTGATCCGCAAGTAGATGGAGTGAAGCAACACCAAGGTTGAGTTGCTCCACATCCCAAGTTCCAGCGATCCACAATAACCCATGTGTGGCCATGCTGAAAAGTTGTGCAGTTTCAGCAACTTCAGCATAGCTGATCCGCAAGCAAATGGCGTGAAGCAGCACCAAGGTTGAGTTGCTCCACACCCGTGCTCCGCAAGTAGATGGAGTGAAGCAGCACCAAGGTTGAGTTGCTCCATACCCCGTGATCCGCAAGTAGATGGAGTGAAGCAACACCAAGGTTGAGTTGCTCCACATCCCAAGTTCCAGCGATCCACAGTAACCCATGTGTGGCCATGCTCAAAAATTATGCAGTTTCAGCAACTTCAGCGTAGCTGATCCGCAAGCAAATGGCGTGAAGCAACACCAAGGTTGAGTTGCTCCACATCCCAAGTTCCAGCGATCCACAATAACCCATGTGTGGCCATGCTGAAAAGTTGTGCAGTTTCAGCAACTTCAGCATAGCTGATCCGCAAGCAAATGGCGTGAAGCAGCACCAAGGTTGAGTTGCTCCATACCCCGTGATCCGCAAGTAGATGGAGTGAAGCAACACCAAGGTTGAGTTGCTCCACATCCCAAGTTCCAGCGATCCACAATAACCCATGTGTGGCCATGCTCAAAAATTATGCAGTTTCAGCAACTTCAGCGTAGCTGATCCGCAAGCAGTTGGTGTGAAGCAGCATCAAGGTTGAGTTGCTCCATATACCCCGTGATCCGCAAGTAGATGGAGTGAAGCAGCACCAAGGTTGAGTTGCTCCACACCACGTGATCCGCAAGCAGATTGTGTGAAGCAGCGCCATGGTTGAGTTGCTCCACACCCCGTAATCCACAAGCAGATGGTGTGAAGCAACACCAAGGTTGAGTTGCTCCACATCACCAAGTTCCAGCGATCCACAATAACCCATGTGTGGCCATGCTGAAAAGTTGTGCAATTTCAGCAACTTCAGCATAGTTGATCCGCAAGCAAATGGCGTGAAGCAGCACCAAGGTTGAGTTGCTCCACACCACGAAGTTACATCGAGGTAGTTCTACAATAACCCATTGTGTAGTCACGAACTGGCTAACTAACATCTAGCTAACTCACGCAAGCTCGTAAATTTGCTGCCATTTTCGGCTATCTGCTAACGAACCTGCCTGCGCATTTTTGTGGGTTGGAGTCTCTGTGAACGATGCAGTCGGAACATATTTCATCTATGCCCTCATCTTTATCTTCATCTTTATCTCATACACGTACATAAACGTGTGCCAAAGCCTGTGTGCCGAAAAACTGGAGGGATTGAAAGGTGTCCTTATCTATCATCTACTTACTTGTGTCAACTGCTATATGCAAATTAAGAAGAATTTGGAAATGAGTCGTAGAAAGGAGGCTATTTGAAGTGAACTTCAACATGCAGTTCAGGTCATTACAATCTACATTAATAACTAATCCTGTTAGAGACAAATTTGTCTCATACCTGGTTCTTTCCCCCCCCCCCCTCCCCCCCCTCTTCGCTCCCCTATCGACCTGTTCATGAAGATTGCGGACGAGGAAACCTGTATTACCTCCTTTGTGATTACAGTATTCCTGTGCTTCTATTATGTACTCTGTAGGGTTGTTATCTCGGGATTCGGTTAGATCGCACTCCAGAAGCTCCTAAGATTGTCGGCAATTGCGCTCTATGGCAAGCTCGTAGTGATCCTGTGGTTCAATTCAGATAGGCCAAAATGGTGTGTTTCGCAACAAACCATCCCATAGACTTCCATGACGGGATCCGATCCTCTGAAGTGTTCCTCTAAGCACAGTAGCCGGGAAATGTTGACCGAAAATAGCGAACACATTTTGGACCGTAATTTCTTGAATAACGTGCTGCATATGAGTAGGTTCAACCAAGATAGGTTTTGCATCTCTGTTTTGTCATTTTCAATACAATAGAATTAGCTAGGGAAGTCCGTGATTGCAACCAGTTGAGAACTTTTTGAACGAGCATCAAGGTGCTAGTTACGAGTAAATCAGATGAAATTGCCTTCGAACAGTATTTTCAACAAAAAAGGATAAAAACATTCGTTGATTCCTCGGACCAGAATTGGTGATGGACCATGTGCTGCACAAGTGTGCGCAACATACTCGTACTTCTGCTGAACTGACGTACGAACGTAGGAAAGTATTTGCAGTACTTATGTCTTTCTTAGAATGCTATCTGCTACCTAGTACACCACGTCCAAAATAAGTGGTATGCGTGGTCTGCAACAAAATTTCTTAGGAATGTTATTACATTAATGACTCAAAGGTCGCGTCCGGGCAAATTTGGACATTTTCGGATACTATCATAACGGAGTACTGCGGCCTCGATCTAGAACTATCGCGCAAATCCGACTTTCAAACATCCCCGGCAAAAGGAGAATACTGGAGCAGAAAAGGCCAAGCCTCGAAGACCACGCCCACTCCCTCGCACCCCCGCCCCCTTGAACAAACTCTCCTCACCCCTTGACTGTTTTTACGTGGCAAACACAATCGAACAGATAGTGTATACCTGTTAATGCTTGCTTCCGACAAGATAGCATTAGGAGCACTCGTCCACGGTTGTTATAAAATTGTCTCAAAAATGGGGGTTTTTTGAGGAATTCACGCATTTTGAGTGCTACATTTGGAATCGGCGCCATGAAAAGGCCTGGATAAAGCAAAAAATAGAAGTCGGGATTCTGCCTGGATGCTGACTTCAAATACAGGTGTGGTGAGTGGTTAAGTGTGTTGGCTGCTCGAACACAACGCAGTTAAGAAGAATTCGATCCTTTTCAAACATCAGGTCTCATCGGATGATTGATGTGCCTGTCATAAATCTAATGACTCATTTGTTCTGTAATAGACAGGCAGTTGCCAGTTCTCATAACACTTGAGCGTTCTCGTTCATATCTATTGATGCCTTGCTACAACGGAACCGCAGGCAAGAACGAATGATCATGAGGAGCAAATCATTCAAGATTTTCAGCCTCCCTTGCACTCTATTCCTAAACGCTCTCCGCTTCAATGAGGGCGAGAAACCGGGTACCAAAGAAAAACGAAAGATATCTTTACACAGCAAGCAGGGCTGTTGAGTTTGTCTTTCTGAGCATTTCTAGAAAATCCTTTATCTCAAGAGACGTGAGCATCGAACACAAAAAATTTTCGTTTTTCTAAACTATGAAAAATCGCAGCGTATAGCTTCTCCTACACTGCGTTACATAGAATTGTAGAAAAGTTTAGTAAGAACTGCGAAGGAGCCCTTAGCGAGCTCATTCGTTCGGATATTGTACGTAAAACAAAACTAAAAATGCACAAAACTGCTTGGAGTAAGATCGAAAACTTATCATTTTCTGCAGCTTATCTCATTTTCGCGACTTAGAATTCTATTTTTAGTGCTCTTAAGAGCCGGGCATACTTCACGTGATTTCAGTCGCGACACGATTTGGCAATTCGCCAGAAGTCTTCAGATCCAACACTAGCAAACTGCACATGCATAGTGTGTATAGCTTATGTGGATTGTTAGAATGCCCTATCTTGTATGCATTTAAAATGTGCTTACAGTAAGTTATGGACAGTTGGAATATTGCCAAATCTCATGAACTATGCCCGGCCCTTTAGCCAAAATCTTTCCCTTCATCTCCCAAGTTGAGAATGCACAGCAGCAAAAAGCTGTGTGGAAAAAGTCTGCAATAATTTTAGTTTCCCAAATATGGACTTTGCTGTCAAAGGAATGGGTCAGGGAAGACGAAGTTACGAGTTCATGACCGATGGAATGCTAAAATAAATCAGTAATGTTGAGAAAATTCTCGTGACTACTGCCCCGTGCATCCGAAAATCAATATCATAGATAAACTTTATTTATTTAGAATCATTGCAAGATAGACGGCGATTAGGAGCAACACTCGAGCTTTATTCAACATATACACTAAAACGAACAGCTATTCGACAGGTATTATAGATATATACACTCTAAACGCTACACAAATTATATTACAGTCGTCAATGCTGAACCGGTAGAAGAGCGGGTGGACATTCCGAAGTGAAATATGCGACAATTGGGGTACTTATTTGGGAGGGGGGAGGGGCGATGATGACGCGCGGTAGAAACAGATAAAGTTGGTAAAAGAGAGAAAGAGAAGAGAGTAACAAGAACAGAGAAGAGAAAAAAATGACGCACATGATGGATGTGTAAGTATATGGTTTGGGGATGCGTTGCAAGTGAACATCGTTCAAGGCTCTGTAGAGATCCGTGTACGCTCTCGCTGTCTTTGATTCATAGTCAATTGGGGTATTAATAGCGAATAACACTTTGACAATTCAAGGATTCAGGGGCGTTTACACAACGGATCACTGACGGAAATTCATGAAACTCTGCGGATCGTCCACCTGGAAGAACGGACTATCGATTTTCTTTGGGAAGTCGTCTTGAGCAACAACCACATCCTGAACTCCGAAAAATGACTTGTTATCAATTTCCTTCAACTTTTGTGACTAAACTATTTTTAAAGTCCAGCTTAACTCTCTCCTCCCCCTTGAGTATGCCTCTATTTCGTGTATAACCTTTGATTCAACTGAATTGGGCTGGAAGGCGGGGCTTTGCGATCCAACTAAGGCCGCTCGCGCCCGTGAAGCAGTCTGCGTCTCTCTGGCGCGCATACTCTCTGATCATTCTCTAGCCTTAACTAGTCACGAAGCCCCGCCTTCCAGGCGCCAATCCAGTTAAATCAAAGATTTCTAAGGAAAAATAAAATTTTACTCTGCCAGAGATTGGAGCATTAAAAAGCAAAGAGATTAAAATCGGAAATATGCACTTATGGTCTGAAGCACGAATGGTGCCGACAATACAACACAATTTTTTACGCGCGTAATAGTTTCGGCCGTAAGCGCACAATATCCAGTCAGATTTACCATACTATAAAATCTCAAGCAGACGCAGATTCAAAAGGGGTGAGTTGTCTACATGGGCTATGGACGTACATACCCTTTGATTCAAGTGGCTTGGAAGGCGGGGCTTCGTGACCTAATAAATTCTGGGTAGTGATCAGAAAGCACGCGCGCCGGGGAGACGCAGACTGCGTCGCGGCCGCGAGCGGCCATAATTAGGTCACAAAGCCCCGCCTTCCAGCCGCCGAGCCAGTTGATTCAAAGGTTACGTTCTCTGAGCGTTCAAAATTCAATCTAGCTTCTTGAAAAAAAAAACTTCGCGAGGTGTAAAGGTATACCTCCTTATTTTTCGAGAAGAATTCAGTTCTATGCAAAAATTTGAAGAGCGTTCCAGAAACTTTTTTGGAGGACGTGCCTGACGCCACTTCCCTTCAACAGGAAAAGACGCTGTCGTTGCCATAAGAAATTTCGTGCCGCCTCTTGTCACCTATTCCTTCGAAGTATCAAGTGCATAACTGCTATCCAAAATAATTGTTTAAGTCAGTATGAGAGTGGGAGATATTTGGGCAAATTCGTCGAATTTCTAGGCTTTCTACAAAGGAACTTTCAAACTGAGAAAGATTCCCATCGCAGTTTTTATTCCCTCTATTTTTCAGCGCTGTTATTGTTTTCCTACAAAGCATTAGCATCTATTTTGCATGTGCAGCTAGCTATTTTCGGACAACTGGACATTTTGCGTAACCTATTTGTTCAGATGCTGCTAAACATAGCTAAGTTTGCTTACAAGGGAATGGTCAGAAATCGAAGTGGCCAATTCGAGCAAATTACATACCGTTAGATGCAGCGTGAAACGCTGACTCTGAATCTGCTTTCCTTATCTGCAGAGCTCTTTTGTAGATGAATTTATAAGCCTTTAGAGACCATAATTTTGCTAAGAAAACGTGCGTGTAAAGGTCAAACTTGGCCATACCGAGCCACCCTCGGCTCAGTAATGGACGAAAACATGCGACTAGGTCTCTTCATGTGGGCCGTACTCAAAGGTGAGCTAAAAGGGTAGTAGTGTGCCTAATCTCGCAATTTTTAAGCGCGGTTTTTTCGCTGTAACACTGCTTATAACTTCGCCTACAAAGGCGCTCTGCAGATAAGGAAGGCAGATTTGAAATGAGCGTTCCATGCTGCATCGAATGGTATGCAGCTTGTTTGGATTGGCCACTTCGACTTCTGACCATTCCCCTGTTAGCTGTGGCACGATACATAGAATGAACGTCGTAGTCCAAGTATGGATATACTGTAGATACTATTCAGTTTCCCCAAATCCATTTCCGAACCCCCCCCCCTAGCTAAAGCTCTCCCATACTTCTCGCTTCTAAAATCCGTTCAGTACCTGAGGAGGAGCATCTTCATGTGGGTGTCCCATCACTTCTCCGCTATCTCTCAGTGGAAGAAAATCCCTTTCCTCAGCGGGTCCAACGCTTGGTTCGGAAACAACTGGGACGGAGGCAGGCTGAAAAAAATTTTTTGTGAAAAACTCTCATTTCCCGGAGATGTATAAATTTACCATTGGTTCTTCAGCAGCTTCTGGTTGAGCATGCTGCCATGGTGGATTTACAGCCGAAGTATCAACTGCGTGGTTAACCTCTTCTGACACGGCGTTGTTCTCGTTTGTCGTTTCGGCAGAGGTTTCAACGGTCTTTGGTTCAGCATCAGCCGAGATGTCGATGGGGACGTTGAATTTTTCCTGAAAAGAATATACATATATAGCTCACGGTATTCTGCCTCTGCCGCCGTAGAAAAAATTTTTCGAGGAGAAGAAAAACAAAATATACCATTTCTCTATGAAATTATTTATAATACGCTACAAACGCTACGGATACTGTAAAAGGCGATTTCTACACTTCACAATAGCAGTATTATAACTGTTGTGCAACTATTGTGTCAAGCTGTTGAGATACGGAAATAGGTCTTTTAGCTTATATCTACCATATCCTGACAGGTTACGGTAGTGCAATTATAACGATGTTCGCTCGACAAGTTATATATAAGTCTCCTGAATGTACATTTTTGTTTAGACCAGGAAAAAGACTCTGCTCTCTCAGCACGCCGAGAATCATCAATTATTGCGTTATTCCTCAGGGTAAATTAAGTGTATGGTAAGAGGTCTAGTAACCTATAAACGATGTAAAAATTGTGACCATCTGATTGTTGCAAACCCTCTACCGTATAACCGTACTTCCATGTACGGTTGTGCAGTTTACTAAAAATTTCATCTTGTCGAGGTGTGTGATTTTGTAGTATCCAATCAATCCGGAAAAATTAGCGATTTTACGCAAAATTTTGCATTTATCGTAAAATATGTCAACATTTTACTTTCTCCATGTAAAAGTACAGTACCTCTCTGGGGAAATTATCGATCCCCTCGCTATCGTGCCCGATATGTGGTGGTTCGGGAGCTGATGCTGGTGGCAAAGCCGGATGTTGATTAGCTACGACTGCTGTGTTTTCTACCCAAGGGGCGGCAGCAGCTGGATGTGGGTTGAATTCAATCTGCAGACGTATTCCTTATAGAAATTTCCGAAGGCGAATGATGCTTTTACCTTAATGGGATTGTTATCCCATGTTTGCTGCCATTTCTGGTCATCACCGCTCATATACCAAGGCTTAGGGGCGATGTTAGCATCATTGAAAGCATTCACATTGTTGTTAACGTCAGGGACAAATGGTTGGGGAAAAATAGGCGCCTCAAATATATTCTTGGTAAAAATACTATCAGAATTTGAGAAAAGTTTACCTGATTCTGTACGGGGAAGGGAAATTGATTTTGTTGGCCAATAGTTGGTTGTGGTTGGAATTGCGGTGCTGGTGCTGGTAGCTGCTACAAGACAGATGTTGAAATAGAAGTTGGGCAAACGGTTCGTGTGTAATGGTCACTACCGTACAATTACTGTATTCCTATCACAAATTTCGCAATTGGAATCAAAAAGACTACAAACATCAAGAAGACAAGCTTAATTCGCCAACATATGGCTGTCACATTACAACCGTATAGCTACCGTATTCGTACCGCAACCGTACGGTTACAGTACTCCTAAAACAATTTTACGATCAGAACTAACAACAAGTTTTGCTGTGCAGATATCTACCATATCTCCAACGATGACATGTACGCTGCAGTAGAATCACAGTACGTCTAGATTTCCCATCGCAACTATTAAAAAATCATGGTGAATTGTACGAGGACATATACTGCGTCGCTACAGTACGACTATTGTGTCGCTACCGTGTAGCTAACGTATTCCCACTATACAGAACAGAACTGAGTCTTGTCGCGCAGACAGCTACCGACACTACGGTGAAACCGTAGTGTCGGTAGCTGTCTGCGCGTAAATACTGTACACTTACCGTAGGTCTATACAGAAACTCGAGTTTTGAAATACGGAAAGACATGTACTGGGTTCCACTAATTGTTGTATAGTTACCGTATACCGTACTGCTACCATACACCTCAATTATCATAACCAATAAAAAAGTCATGATAAATTGAGAGAATTCCACCCTATCGCTATGACACGTCTATCGTAAACCTGTCGTAAGGCTACCGTAATACTACCATATACTCGTAGATAAAAGACTCGCCTGATGGAATTGCGGCTGTGGCTGTGGCTGAGGTACACCCTGGTTGAAGAACAGCACTACAGGTTGTTGTGGTTGTGGTTGTGGCTGTGGCTGAGGTGGAAGAGGCAGCGGCTGTTCAACTCGCTGTTCCCAGAATTGAGGTTGAGGTTGGGGCTGTGGCTGTGGCTGTGGGGGCATGAACCATGGGTGTGGATGGGGCATCTGATGGAATGGGAACGGATGAGCCCATGGTTGAGCCCATTGTGGAAGAGGCTGTTGTGGAAGAGGTTGTGGTTGTTGCTGTTGCATGAACAGATCTTGTTGCTGTTGCTGTTGTTGGAATTGTAGCTGAGCTTGGGCCTGAAATCAGTGTCAAGTGTACGGTATGTGATTTAGGATACTGTATGGGAAAATGATTAGAGCTCTTGGTTTGGGTTAGTTCCGCTTGAGTAGGGCGAGGGGCTGGGAACTTAGGAACTAACATTTTTCTGTCCAAGGATATGTCCGATGATTTCTGGGTTATCGCCGAACACCTCAGTGACGACACGTTGTGGCATTTGGCTATCCTAGAAATCAACCAATCAGATACCGTAACCATACCGTACCATTTCGTAAACGACTCCATATTCGCAATTAACAACTAATTTTAGCAGCAACTACTTAAAGGCAGTGTCCCGGCAGATTCGGGTCCTGGGGGATATACGTGTGGTGGGGTTCCTGGTCACCCCATCGACCTCCAGGCGCACTCCGGCTGGGTGATGTTCCCCCTGGGCCGAGAAAATGGCCCTTGAACCGGCGCGCGCAACCCCAACCGGCGCGCGCTTGGACGGCCTTCCCCGCCTGTTCGGCGCGGGACTCTACGAGCGCTCTCCCCCATGATGCATGCTATCCAAAGCAAGAATTACAGGCGGCAGGATCTTCGTCTGAGGACCTCCCCCAACTTTCCATTAAAAATCTCGTCCAAGCTGCTTTTCTGGAATTAGGAAAACGCCCCAAAATCGGCCTTTTCAGCCCGTTCAAAGCTCAAATTCGGATTCTACGTGGCGAAAAGGCCTAAAACATGCAAAAAGGTGGAGGTGCAAAATCTGCCGGGACACTGCCTTTAAAAATAATATTGTACAAACTAGCTCTCCAGATCTAAACTGGAGAACTTTGTGAGGGAAAAAAACCCAAAGTGGGCGTGGTTAGGGGCGGAGCTATTGAGATGTGAACCACTACAGTATACAGAGAAGAATTACATATCGAGAAATAATTGAGTGCAGTATGTTGAAAGCCTTGCTTGCACATTAGGGCCAAGAACAAAATTTCCTTCCAGGGCATGGACATAAATAAATTATTTTCGATGGCGCTCATTTATTTTCAAATCCACCTATATCTATCTATCTTATATTTGATAACACTTTTTATGTAGAAAATTTTTTATAACTTTTGAAATTTATAGTTTCTGAAGAAGTCCGACACCTTATCGAAGTGATGAGTGATTCTCATTTGTGGATTTTCTTCTTCTGGAGCGTCCTGCACAGGCTCGAATATGTCGTTGTCATGTCGTCCGTCAAATCGGTTGTTGAATCTGAACATTTGCGCATGATGATGACGGTTGAGAGGGACCGGATCACTTCTAGGAAGCAAACACCGTAACGTTTGCTCACCCAACTGGTTTCCACGGTGACGGTTCGGGCCCAAATTGCGGCCAACCACGATGGTTACTGGAAAAAATTTTGCATCATAACTCACTTTCTTGAACAAAAAATACTTACAATTCGCTCTCCTCTTCATTCTGTCTCCATGGTCCAAATGGTGGCGGCATAGCAACTTCACCGAAACCATCGTCAATGGCTTGCTGGCTCATCTGATAATGGGAAAAATGTATATTTCTTAGCTAAAATATTTGGAATTATTTACCTGCTCAGTTGGAATCGGTTTGACTTCGATGACGTGCACTTGCATATCGCCGGTCAATCCCATCTGTTCAGCATGTTCGCGCATTTTTGATAGAATCATGCGGAGCAGATCGAACCTCGTAGTCTGAAACATATTACCAAATGCATTTCATAGATTTAGCAATTTAGTGTTAAGAAACTACAAAACAAAACAAACTAGAGTTGCACGGAGGGCCAAAAACTATGAGAGTCCCTTTGGCACCGCTACAGTAAGCTGCGGCTCCCCGCAGCATGCTTGTTGGACGCGATGCGCGCATTTAACCATTGACCATTCACCTTGCGAGAACAGCTTCAACAAAAAACTCCGCAATAATTTTTGGTTTAGATTTTCGAGGTCAACTGCAGCGTGAGGTTACGGTAGCCTATCGTATAGGAGTATAAAAGGCCCAGATCTGTGAAGAACATTGCTATCTACATGTTGGTTGCTGCGAAATTACCCTTGAGTGCGGTTTGTTTGGTTAGAAATCTCGAAAACTTCATTTGCTCAACGATTTATTCCCAACCCCCGAATTGCCTATTAGTGATGACCTAAAAATGAAATCTTTTGCCCCCTTTCCATAGAATTATCTCGCCCGAGTAAATTTCTAGTTGAATGGCCAGTTTGGCATGCATGGTATGCACATTACACTCATTTTACACGCATAACACAGGTCGGATTACGACATGTGGTCAGTTTTTCGCGCAACTCGGGTAATTTACATTATCGGACACTGGCAGTTGCATTTGTTCGCACTGATTGATATTTGGATCCCCATTTTTTTGCCCCTTTGCTCCAAAACCCTTTAATTCAAGACTGGTTCTTAAGAAATTTTCATTCCGGTTAATTTTGGGTTCTGGGTTCCTTTCCTGAGAAGTGAACATTGCGAATTATGAAGATAATGGGAAAATCAGCTGGTGAGTTGATTAAAAGGACGAGTTTGCCGAGAAATAGGCAGTTCTGACAAAAGATAACTTTTTACGCTTGGCATAGAACTTTCAAAGTCATGGACACGGAGGAAATTTTGATCTTATAACCTTACGGCGTCGAAAAAATCGATAAATCTACAATATTAAACTTATCAATCAGATAATTATCCTTCTTTCTATGACTAGGAGACGCGACACCGCATCGCACACATTGTTTAAACAAGCCTAATCATGTACCTAGCAGGTTTCTACTTGTTATTTATCTCGTCCAGGTTTATTCATTCTTTGAAAACAGGGAAGAACAAACTCAAACTTGTTAAGACAATGTCCGCAATGCGGTCTCGCGGTCTCCTAGTCGTAGAATAAATGATACTTATTTACTTATTTAACTATGTAATTAATAAAGCGCACTTTCTAGAGAAAAATCTTTCAACTTATTAGTGATGGGTGGAAGGCTTGTTCACAAAAATTACAACACATATTACTATAAAAATGGTAGTGATTAAAAAAAACTACTCCTTCCCCACCCCCCTTCTTCCTCCATCTCTCGTTTCCCCAAGTGTTGAATCCCCACACCACTGTCGGAAATTTTTCCCAGCCAAATACTCGCCGATTTGTGCGGATTATTCGATTATTCGACTTTACTGCTCAATCGTGCGCCGATTCACAGGACTAGTAGGAGCTATTTTAAAACGCGAAAAATCCCCCCCCCCCAACAAACAACTGTCTCTTTGAATTTGACGGACATCTATTCAATAAAATCCAGTAGGTTGCTAGCCGTGAGCAATGAGGTCACATGTGGGGGGAAAGCAGAAATAATGGGCATCCAAATACGGGTTGGTGGACGAGTTTTTTGCCAGAAAATGAGTCAAAATAAATTATCCAGGAGGTCAGTGTGGCGCTGCGAAATTGGCGCGGTATTTAATTTCACAAATTGTCGTCGAAAATTAAGAGGAGGTGGAATTGTTTTATGAATCCAATAAAAAAGATGTAAGTTTACATTGCTATCTAGGTACCATAGCACATATCACGTGATTGGTCAACGCTTGCACAGACCGACCAATCACAGTTGGGCACGACCAATCAGCTGGTACTATTTATTGATTAGAAAACTCACCACTTCCTCATCACTACTATCCTTTGGTGTCTCATCTTCCTTCGGGGCCGCAGGTGTAGTGGTAGTGGTAGTTGTTGTCGTCACTTCGGCGTCTTGCACACTGCAAAAAAATCAATATATTGATTGATTGCCGTGAATCGATATATCGACCGACTAACTTGTCATGACGCCGCGGGAATGCTGGCAGTTCATTGACGGGCTGCAACGAATGCATTTGTTGCTGTTGTTGTGCCATCGCTTGTTGTTGTTGTTGTTGCGCATGTGATAGCAATTCAAAGCCAAGCATACGTTGACGAAGTTCGGCCCTGAAGCGAAATGGGTTACGGTAGGGCAGAGGGCGAATGTGTGGGATTAAAAATGCGTTTATTTTTGTGCGGATTTTTCACATTTGGTTGCTTTTTGTGCTTTGAGTGTAGAGGGAGTTCGAAAACTCTCCAGCTTGTAAAATAGAAGATTTGAAGGACATTTCTTCTTGCAAGTACCCATTTTCCATATTTTGGAGAACATAGGAAAGCTTGTCAAAATCGAACTTTCTGGTATTCTGCTCCCTGCAAATTTTTCCCCTGCACCGGCTTCCTCATTATTTTCCCTCAGCATAAAAGATCTTTTTACCACTAACTACGTGACTACCTGCTAAACCTACAATGACTGGCATGGGCAGTAAAAACACATCCACACGTTTTTATCCACACAGAGGTAAAGTACACTTTACGAATGCAGTACGGCAAACATTCCGTCGACCCCGTCAAGGGAAAAAAGCTTAGTTATTCGTTTACTTCTGGTTTCGCGTACTGCAGCAAACAAGACGATTGTGTGACGTAGGTAGGAGGACAGGCAGGGTTCAACTTGCAAAAGTAAAGAGATAAATTGGAGGGGGAGGGGGCTAAATTTTGCAGGAAAATTTTATGTAGGATCTCACGCGGAAAAACCATATTTCTCATTTTATTTGGTAATATTTATTCTTGGAGGCGTTTGATACTCTTCTTCCTCCCCCCCCCCACTCCCCCCCCCCCGCTAACAAAAAGCCACAATTTGCTAACTACCGACCCGACCTACTCCAGTTTGCTAGTTACATAGAGAGAATACTCCAACAAAATTAGTACTTTTCATGATATTCTGACAATTTGATATTTTGACCTCCCCCTTCTCCATAAAAAGCAATCAATACATTTAGGAACTAGGGGTGTTCAATGTTTCAAATTTCAAATTCTTACCATTTCAATCGCAAGAAAGCTTGGTCCCTTTGTCTGTTGTAAACGATCTCCGAAATTGTCAAACATAGCAATACGATGAAAAAAGCGGCGACAATCCATGACAACACTGAAAACTTTCTATCATGTTCTTGACAGCCCTTAGGACTAAGGGCCCATATACCGCCACATCCGAATCTCTTCGCTGGTGGTGCTCTCGGCACGATGATCGGTGCCGGCACCGGCATCGCCGGTGTTGGATCCATCTGAAACGGGGGATTTTTCTTAGTAAAGCAGAGAGATGCTAGTGTTTATGTATTTGTTTACTTCCTAAACTTAAATGTCAAAAAATTCAAAGTAAATAATTAGACTAACTTGTTAGATAAAATCGAAACTGGTTAATAATTCTAGTCCACCACAATTTTGCTGCTACCGAGAAAAATTATGAAGCACAATGAATTAATGGTCCGTAACCTATACTAAGGGAAACTGTCTAAAGATTTAACAGGTACTTGAAATGGATGCTTCGATCAATCACCATCTAATATATCAAGACACTAGCTCAATTCGAAAATCTTCAAATAGCGGGAAACGGCGGGTCCCGAAGCGAACGCTCTCCCAAATAGCACCGTTAGATTACTGGTTCACTAGTATGATGTAAGCTACATTTTTGCTCTGAAATGTTCAAAGCAACCTGCTTTTCTGAATTGAAAAATTTATAACTCTTTTCTAAATTCAAAAAATATAAAGGTGAATACTGAAAGTTTTCTTCAATTTCTAGGAGCAGCACAGATTTTGCATTCTTTTGTATTAGGTTGTTACATAAGTTTTGTTATACTCGACTGAAAAAATGATCATAACTTTCTCAAATGATTTTTCTTTGCCTCCAAACTCTGTGTAATGTTGCAGATTTTTGATATATATTAGGTCGTTCCGAAAGTAATGTCGCTTTTTTCGAATGAACGCCACTATTCGTGGAATCAACATTTTCAAGAGGTCTTGGGAGCATTCGATGCAGTATTTCATCCTCTTCCTAACGGTTCTGATTTCACTGCATAATGTTCAACGAGCTCTCGAAAAATTACCAAAATCTGCGACTCATGCTTTTTGCCATGGTCAAGTTCGGCTATTTTTCTAAATTTTTGTACCTAATCTCCGAAAAAGTACAAGTGGCAGGTAGATAGAGCAAACACTGTAGAACACAGAGCAATTTTTTCTTTTCCTTAGCTTGCTTCTCAAAGTTTCTACAATCAATTTCTCAATGCCATCAAATTCCATGTTTAGTCAAGTCAAACCTCACAGAACAAAAACCGGCAAGCGACTCGGGTGTTATTCGATGCAGCTTTTTCTCCTCTTTCTAGCGGTTGTTTTTTGTTTCCGATTCATGGTGTTTTCCGGGATAAAATCATCATAATTCAACTTTTCCAAGGCACTCCAAGGTGTACTTGAAATTTTCGAAAATTGCTAAATCGAAGCGGTGAATGCTCGTTTGGTTTGTGAAATTGTTGCCAAACCATAATCCATCTTTGTAAGTTTCAAAATCAGGAGCCTTGTGGCGTTTGATGCACTTGTGTCTGAGACGAGCTGCTAAAATTTGGTGGTTCCATCAAAAAATCTGTACAAAAATTATGACGAGCTCTGGAAAGTAGAAAAAAGTTGTGCTGTTTCCTGTAGGGTTTGCTCCATCCATCCATTACTTGGACTCCTTCTGAGGTTTGTTATAAAATTTTAGAAAAATTGTGAAACTTGGCCATCTCAAAAAGCATAGGTCGCAGATTTTGACTCTTTTCTAGAAGCTCATTGACTGTATTGCAACAACTTCATAACCGTTAGAAAGAGAATGAAATGCTGCATCAAATGCTTCCAGAATCTCTTACATATCTTTGTTCCACGAGATGTGGCATACGTTTGAAAAAAGCGACATTACTCTCGGAACGACCTAATACATGCCACACATGAAAAATCAAATTTTGGATTTTTTTTGAAATTTTTTCGAATTATTTTTGGCAAATCTCCATTTTTGGTTGATGAAAAGTTTGAACTTCCAGACTGCTTCGGTATTACTAGCAATGCTCCCCAAAGTCCATAAAAAATCTAAAAACGTGGAAAAGAAGAATAATAGAATTTTTAGGAAACAAAGAAAAAAATGAAGGTTGGGGTGCCCATATAGTGTTGCTTTCATATTCATTGTAGGTCATGTGGTGAAGGCATAAGTGATACCAGCAGATAGCCCTTTATCCCTTCCCCATATATGCCGGATATGAGGTCTTGCCGAATTTTCTAGAGTTTTCCAGAGGAAGGCGAAGAAAGTGTAACAAAACTTATGTAACAACCTAATATTTGCATTCATCGTATTTTTGCAAATAAATGGTCTAATTAGAGCAATTTTCTGGTCGCAAGCATTCGCAGCTTTTTACTGAGAATCATTAGAGCTCATTATATTCCTATTCTAAGATATGCAGAGAATAAAAGACATGCTGATGACCATCTCTATTCATTGAGATTCATAAGATTTGCACAGCTGATTAGACTTGAAGAACTCATAAAACCTGACAAGCTTGGCAACAACTGAAAACATCTATAACTTGAGTTGATAGCAAAAGATTTTTTTTCTCGAAAATTCTCACAATTCTCTTGTCAGTAAGTTTAAGGGGCGCACTTACCTTGGGCAAATCACCTTTCTCTACATCAGACTTTTGCGCTTTCTCCTTATCATCTAAGCCCACTGTGAACACTTTCATCCTCGGTTGGTGAACCTGAAATATACCATCTCTGCTTAAATTAGCTCAAAAATGTTCAAAAATCAAAAGCAACGACGTACATAACACAAGATCTGTAAGAGTCGGTTCAGACGAGCAATACTCAAGCTTTCACGGCCAAACACTCTACTGTAAGCCATAACCTCTGTCAAATGCAAAATCTCCCCCCCCCCTCTACCCCTCTTTCAAAAATATGATCTCAGAGTGCAGTTATCGAATTTCAAAGGCAAAATCACCGCACACACACAACCAACGAAAGCACAAGCACACGCTGAGACTTGTCTTTTGCTTGTGTGTGTGTGTTTATTTACCTCCGGTAGGGGAAAGTCGGATGTGTTTACCTTGCCGGAAAATGTTCTCTGGAACGGGAATACACAAAAACGGGATTGAATGACATTGAGATTTTCAGGTGGTGGAGAGGGGTTTTTCTCTCCTTCACAAGGACAGGAAATGTGCATACATACAGTACAGGTGCAGGATATTCGTGTGCAGAAGAGCGGAAAGAGCTGCTTTTGCGGAAAAGTAAGCATTGAAGAGATTTCTCTTTTGAGCTGAGAAGATGGAGCACTTGACTTTGGGAATAAGTGGGGGACAAGAACAGGGGGAGGGGATGTCTGCTCGGAAATAAGGAAGAAGTTAAGGGGTCAGAGCCAGTTTAAAGCTGCAGGAGGAAAAAGGGGAAAAGAGAGTCCGCTCCGGAATTTCTCAGCTATGGAAGAAGTCGAAGGCGTTGAGGATTGCAGGAAAATCGAGTCTTTGAAACTGCGGGAAAAAAGTCTGGGTTCTGGGACCATACGCAAATGAGAACAGAGGTAGTGAGTCCATCTGGAACTAAGGAAAAAATGGCAAGAGTCCATATGGAACCGAAGGAGGACGAGGAGGGGAAGATATTTAGGTCCGTTGGGAGCTCCCGAATGAAAGAAGGGAAATGGAATCCGCTTGAAGTTACGGGAAGATGAGTAGGGGAAGAGGGTCCGTTAGAGGATGCGTGTGGAACTACGGGAGCAAGAGGGGAAGGTCGAAGGTGGGGGGGGAGGTCGCTAGAATCAGGGAGAAAAGGGAAAGGAGGGGACCTTTGGAGATATAGAAGTAAGGAAGAGAAAGAAAGGTCCATTTAGAGCTACAGGAAGAAAAGGAGGAAGTGGAAAGTGGTTAGGAGCCATGGGAGAAAAACGAAGGATAGGGGGGAGGTCTGTGAAGGTAAGCGAAGAAGAGGGAAGGATCAGAGGGTCCGTTTGGGGATATGGAGAGAAACATGGGAGTGGAAAAGGGATAGAGATCTTGGAATCTACCACTACGTCAAAAGAGGACTCCCCTCTCCTTCCTCCCTTTTACTCAATGAGTAAACTAGAGTTTTAGGTACATACGACTAGTAGATTAGCATTAAAGCCTATTGACTCTTCTTCTGTAAGCAGCAGTGAAGTGTTTGATGATCCTCTTAAGAATGACTTTAAGTCCAGATTTAGCATAAAGGGTCCAGTTTTCGGGTCTAGAACGGGAATATGGTCTCATCAAGCACTTGAACAAGTCTCGAGAGATGGAGCAAGTTTATCCTGAGCTTGAGTGACTCACAAGGAAAAACTTGGTGCAGGGGGGATCTGCAGAATGAGGTAATGGAGCGAGGAATGGAGGGGGGAGGGAGGCGAGGAAAGAGATGACATTTTTGCAAAAAGCAATTTATTTTGCAACTCGCTTTTGCAAGCATGCAAAGTTATGTACTATTCGTAGATAGAATAATATTTTGCATGAGTGAAGTAGAAAACAGTAGAGGAAATGGAGAGGGGCGGAGAGGGAAAAAGAGGGGCGGAGCGCTAGCCGACTCAGAAACATGAAATGATTCGGAGAGAGTCAAAACGGTCACATGAAGGGTCACATGTGACAAATATTTGAGTTACCACTATCCACACATATTGCGATCCCTATTTACCGAAATTTTACACTTTTGTGGACAACTTTTCATCACAAAGATTATTGTGAAGGTCATGAACTATGTTCCAAAAGTGCAATTTTGGTTGTGAATGAGTTTTGTGACAAAAGATTACTTCAAAACAACATTTAGGGCACAAATTCTACATGAAAGTGATCCTTTTACTGCGAATCTTCCTCATAAAATTGCCTGAAACAGAAAAGGGAAAAGGGTACAGCAGGGTGCTCCAAAAGCTCTTTGAGAGCTTGCTAATTAGCCTGATTTCCTTGCAAAGCCCCCATGAACAATGAAGAAATTATTGTGACGAAAATTCTTTGCGGACAGCCGTGATGGACAGCACACATCACGAAATTTAACGTGATTAGTGTTTCCCGCCGTTTAGGAACATAAAATCGGACTGAAATTCGCTGTCTGAGCGTCATGGGTTGCGTAAAAGTCACAAACCTAGTCGAAGTTTTTTGTAGATCAAAATTTTTGGATGAATCCTTATCAAAAAAACTAATGTATAAGCAACTTACGATATCCCTTTCCATGATTATCTGAGAATTTCGTCATAATTCTAATGGAAAAAGAATGAATTAGAATAATGGACTTGAATTCTTGCAAGATAAATGCGAAGTAAATAACAAGCTAAAATTTGGCTACCCTAGCCCATAGTGCTAAATCGATTATATTATGACTATGGGCCATGTTACGACCTTTTACCCAAACGAAATTGAGGTGGGAACCTGCAAAAGAGTTAAATATCCTAGAGTTGTTACCATTTGCAGGCATACCAAGGTCGTGGGAAACTCGTAATCTTATCTATCCTGGGACTATGGGTAAATTTGAGAGGTCATAGGTTTGGATAGGGAGAAACGTATTGATACAAACTACGTATCGATAACGAGAAGGGAAGTCAATGGAAGAATTTGGTCCTATATGGAAAAATAACCACGTTATTTGCACTGCATCGTCTAGCCTTTCTGGGAATCAAAAAGTTGATCTTTATTTTCTGAACCATATATGATTCAACCACAGGATATTTTTAGCCATCAAACCCACTCAAACATAGGTTAAATTTTTTCACCCCCAGAGTTCACCAAGTTGGGGCTGGGGGCCAATATGGTTATTACCGTACGATTATACTTTTGTATGAATCCTACCGTATACAAAATGGTTGTTCATGTGCAGTGAAGCAGAAATATTTTTTAAAGGTTTTTGTTTGGTAAGACTACAGATAATTATCTCATAGCTCTCAAAAATGGTTTTTGATATCTTGTGGGTTTTTTAATCTTTTCGAGCAAAAAATATTCAAAGGAATACCCTCAAAAACACACTCCTACTAGATTAATCTACCACTTTCGGCCGTTCCCTCACTTGACCCACCTCATCTGCAACCTATAGAGTCCTTGCACCCGTATAAATTTCCATAATAGTGTATAAGCCAGAAAAAGCGCTCATGGACCCCCCACCGGCTCGTGTCAATATTTGCCCTCCTGTCGAGTCATGATATAGCCGGCGGGAACTATTCTGGACATTCGCGGCGCAGATGAGAGCTACACAGGTGCGCAACCAATCTAAAACCAGCTTACCAACGCTTGAAATCAGCACTGGACCAGTCATTTCATCGGGTTGGGGGGGGGGGGGGGGGATATAGAAGCTTATAGCGTGAACACCAGCTGGGTAAATGTTGATCAACCTATACAATTTTGATTCAAACTCAATGGGCTCGATTCCAAAACGAGATCACGGTATGTCACAGCAGTGGCCGCTACGTGGACTCAATTGTTTCTGGGGATCGAGTTTCGTATAGTCATACATAGACATACACGGGGGGAGGGGGGGGGGGGGAGGGTGCACAGTCGGGGGAACGAAGTACATATGGGTGCGCATGGATCATGGGTAAATCTGGAACATCAGCACCCAAAATTTTCAACGCTCAATTGAGTTTGTGAACTCTGCATAACGTCGAAGTGCAAACAATAGGGATTACGGTAGGTATTACGGTAATGATGCCTCACAAAAAACGAGGATTCTTTAGTGCATGCCGTCAAATGAAACATTAGAGAACCTCAAAATACTTTCATAACGATGTCTAACGAGCGAGAATCTTGAAAGTCAGGATGGGAGAGGGGGGGGGGAGGCTGTAATAGATTTTATAACCTGTTCTGTGCAAGAGCGGGTCCTCGAATTATTCAGACACTGATTTTTTACGGCCCATAAAATAATTATGTTAGTACAATTTTTACTTGATAAAATTTAGATCAGATTCGAGTTTTGTGAACATGGGTGTAAAAGGTGAGAAATACTTCAAAAATCTAAATCTACTTAAATCTAATCAGAAAAAAGATTTTTCCCATACCTGAAAACAAAAGAAAAATGATAATTATCTAGAAAAATCCTATTCAAATACAACAAATTGAGGTCTTGAAATTTTGTCTATGAGAGCAAAGCAAGAATAGCAAATTTTTCTGAAATCCTGTACAATACGGAATTTTGAATGCCAAAAATAGTGGAAAAAATATTTCCACAGACTCGAAAGCAGAAATAGGAGAGAATGATTTTCCGGAAAAAATATAGTTTATACAAAAAAAAATTGCCGCTACAGAATTGTTTTTATACAAGAATGAAGAACATTCATTATTTCTCAAATCCATAGCAATTTCCCGTTTCAGTCGACTAATAAGTGGGCCTAGAGGGGACGGAGATGGTACTCGCTCTTTGTATCATAACGAAGTGTGCATTCATTCCTACAGGACAGTGCGCTACATCAACGTCTATTATTCCTTCCTCACATTTGCTTTCGGATTTTTTTTGAGCTACTGAAAATGGATTGGAGTTCGTTTGAAAGTTCATTGATTCAGAAGAGTGCAGTTTCTTAAAATAGTACAGTATGCGTGGGACAATGATGTCAGCTGCTGACAGATGGAATATAAAACGACTATCAAATGAGCATCAAAGTTATTTTAAGAGCCAGAATGGCGTCAGCGAGTGTCTCCAGGGAAACGACATCGCAAAGATTCATTAGAGAAATTTCTCAGATAACGAGCGAGCTAAGAAGACGGGAAGGGAACAGCCTGAGACTGCC